CCCCCCCCCCCCAAAAAAAAACAACAAAAACCCCCCAAAAAAAACCAGGGGCTTACACATTATTATGTCCAGACCGAGCAAAGCGGTCCGTGATGGGTGCAGAAGTCAAGCTCAAACACCATATTTTTTGAGGCTCTAATGATAGCGAACTAATTCCCAGTTGAATCCTTTAACCAGCCAGGCATCAGTAGGGATCCGAAATGCCAGGATTGCATCCTAGCCCAGTAGATGGCAGAATATTTGGTAACCCAGTTCCCGAAGCTTTATTTTGGAGAGGTTAGAGCAGAAAACGGTTCCTAAATTACATATTAGTTATAAGGCACAGCAGATGGAGCTCCTTGCCTGGCATTCATAGTTGATAGCTTCCCCCCCCCCCCACATTATAACTCTTACGCCCTTTAATACACACAGAGGCGTAGCTAAGGGGGGCAGGGAACAGATGTCTCCTGGCACCAGAATAATTAGGGGCGCCAAAATGTGCTTTGATATTATTTATTTGATGAAAATAAATGGGTCTGAGATTTGAAAAAAAGAATAGAAACGGAGGCGCTAAAAAAATGAATCTTGTCCCCGGGCACCAAACACTCTAACTACGCCTCTGAACACATATGAGACGCGTCATGCAGGGTAAACACGACGGCTTTGCATGCAGTCACCAGTGAGAAAACTTGCTTAACATGGTTTATGGTAGGGAATGGAAGCTGATCATCCATTTTTTTTAAATTATCAAGGGCCTCAAATTTACACAAGGATATTAACCCTAAAAAGATGAACTCATAACATTGTATATTTGAAAAGAAACAAATCAACATCCTAATAAATAGTCATGAATGAAAAAAAAGCATTATCAACTTGTAGTGATTGAGACAATGTTTAAAATTGACCACCGAAAGGCACTGTTTAAATAATTACCGTACCACCAACCAAAAACAACAGCAAAAAATAAAAAAAATAAAAAATAAAAAACAACAACAAACTAACACCCCACCCCCCCCACCCACAAACCAAAAAAAAAAAAAAAAAAAAAAAAAAAAAAAAAAAAAAAAAAAAAAAAAATAATGTTTAAAATTGACCACCGAAAGGCACTGTTTAAATAATTACCGTACCACCAACCAAAAACAACAGCAAAAAAAAAAAAAAAAAAAAAATAAAAAACAACAACAAACTCCCCCCCCCCCACCCCCCAACATTTACAAATATAAAGAATTAAAAAAAAAATTAAATAAAATGCGAACTTGTACGTGCAAATCTATTGCACGAATTTGAGCGGAAGAATTCAGTTAGCTTCTTGTTGACCTTGATTTTGTCAGTATTGGAGATTTGCAGTCTGCCTCGTGCAACAACAACAGTTTTAGTTGTGGGATGTAACGCCTCGCAGCAAGACCGCACCATATACACCGTACAGCTCCACGGTTGGCTAAAATGGGATTTAAAAAAAGCAACTAAAATGTGTCCATAAAATAATAATAAAAAAAAATATACATGAATAGATGTAGACCAGGGGTCTCAAACTCAAATCATCCGGGGCCGCAGGACCAGTGATTATTTCAGAAATTTTGCCCCGGGAGGGGGGCACTTCAGATTTTTCGGGGGGGGGCAGTGCCAGTAGTACCAGTCAATTTATTGTTGTACATATTTTTGTTCCGTGGGGAACTTGGCTTTCCCGGGGGCAGTGCCCCGATATATAGCTGAAAGAAACGCTGCGCAGGAGGTAGAGTCTGAGTGAGACTGGGCCGCAATCAAGTATTCCACAAAAAGCTATAAAAAATTAAATAAAGAAACTGTTACGATATGCTCAACTTTTATTAATTAAAAAAAACAAAAACATTTAGGGTTCTCAAAAGTTGGCTTAACTTTCTTCCTCCTACTCCTTGTTGCCAGAGACCTGGTAGTGCTTCTTCTTACACATGTGACCAACGTTTGACTCAAGTGAGGAAGCAACTGAGACCCTTAAAGATGCTCATCAGTAAGTCTGGCCCTTAACTTTGACATGTAAAGTTCATAGTGGAAAAGAGCCTTTCACACATAAAGGTACTCCTAAACAGGCACATGATCCGTTTGAACAACCTGGAAATCTCAGGGAAGGTGGAGGGCAATGCTCTCATAAATTGTCCATGCTTGTCTGTTTTCCATTCATCTCCCTTAATTTAGAATTACACTGAAGATCAATTAGCTCCATTTGATTCGCAAAAAGAAAAAAAAAAAGGGGTGGGGGGTATCTTCCATATTAAAGGAGAAATGGTCAGCAAAAAGTTGAAAAGTGGCTCTGTGTGTTTTGAAGTCTGCAAACCTGTGATCAAATTCATTCTCTATGGCTTTGCAATTTCATCAGTATACTTATTACTGAATGGTGTGTCCGAATCTATGATTACTTTCCATGTTGAGAAATAACAGATGTTTCTCTAAGAACCATACAACAGGTTTTTTGCAGAATGACATGACTACCCCTGTCTTGCAACTTCTTGTTGAGTACATTTAGCTCCTGAGTAATGTCAACAATAAAAGCCAAGTCCATGAGCAATCCTAAGTGAGGAAAATTTTGCATGGCTCGGGTCAGCAGATGAGCTGGTAGCCAATATACTAGCCGGGGGTCATCAGGGAGTAATCTCAGACCTTCACCAGAGTATGTGTATTAGTTAGTACAATAACAACAACCCCATCCTTCTCCGTGAGGGCTTCAAATGCTAAAAAGGGTTCAAACAGTAGGCAGGAGTAGATCATATTTATAAATCATTGAAGGAAGATGCTATTGTAGGGATAATTTTTTTTTATCGTGGAAAAGGCCTTTTTGACTGACCCTATCCTATTTTGAAAGTGATCATACCAACAGGCTCGGAATTTCCCTCACTCGTAAAGAATAGCGGCAATTTTAATAGGGATTCTTTGATACTGTGTCAGATTGCTACGATTTACACAATTATCTTTGTGCATTACCCACTTACTGCCTTTTAAAACTTTTTTCAAACCGCACTTTGGCAATGTTTGTATCGTGAAATGTTATAAAATAAAAACTTTTAATCCCATTTTAAAACGGTTTTTACCATTATAATTCCACGCCCAAAGCTGTATGTATGTATATATATATATATATATATATATATATATATATATATATATATATATATATATATATATATATATATATATATATATACATACAATCATCATAAAAATCAGAATTAGATTAGTCGGTGAGATTCGTCTGAAACCGTCGCGGAGGGTCATAGTATATACACGAGAATTGGGAAAACGCGCGGGCCGCATTAACACTAACTTTGCTGTCATGTAGCGGGCCGCAAAATATCGTCTTGGGGGCCGCAAATGGCCCGCGGGACGCGAGTTTGAGACCCCTGATGTAGACTAATAGCTGTTTATTTAACGAAACAAAACGTTGGATAACTTTTTGAAACCGGGGGGAGGGGGGTGGGGAATTTAACGTAGCATCAAACCGTGACTACATTGTTTTCTCCTTTCACAGTAATAGGGTGGTCTTATGAGCACTCAAGGTGAGCGCTAGTTTCAATCAGAGCACTATTAAAAATTACATTTAACTTTCAAAAAGACAAACCTGAATTAATTATGGCACAACAAATTTAAAAATTGGTATTTAATAAAAAAAAAAAGAACTATTAAACTTTAAAGGGAAATCTGTTTGATTTCATTGTAAAATGATCAACAGGTGGTTTATAATCCAGTGATTATTATAAGAGATGTCTATAAAAGACATGAAACATAAAACATTAATAAAAAAAATAAAGCTACATATAAAAAAATATACACCGCCGCGAAATGGAATTTCCAAGGAATATTTTGTTAATATAATTTACATTTTTTTTATACTCGTAGTAAGCTCCTTTTTAGTTGAATAATTTTTTTTGGTTGAGTCAATTTAAAATAGGTAAATCAAGGATCAGTGAGATGAATTTACCGAATAAATTTCAAATTCTTGAAATATGTTGGGATTATGTTGATCTCAAATAGTTAAAATTTGAAACGGAAAATAATCAATATCAATTATAATTAAATGAGGAAATTTGTTAACAAAAAAAAAAAAAGGATTTGAAACAAAACATAACTGATAAGAAGATAAGAATGAACATTTTTAAAGTTCAATGGAATAAAAGTAGACCAATCCAATAAAAAGTTAAAATTTGAAACGGAAAAAAATAAATAAAAATTAAAATTAAATGAGGAAATTTGTTAAAAAAAAAAAAAAAAAGGATTTGAAACAAAACATAACTGATAAGAAGATAAGAATGAACATTTTTAAAGTTCAATGGAATAAAAGTAGACCAATCCAATTCAATAACTAATCTTAAAAAAAGACAACCCCCCGCCCCGGTCAAACACAATATCATTTTAAATGGTGTTATATTTTCACAATATTAGTTTTTAAAAACTCGAAAACAAATTATACATTAGTTTAAATTTGTAAGATTTATTATAGCGTGTTAAATTTATTACCAATTTAAAAAAAAGAAGAAAATTTGTATGTCTCAATTGAAACTTATTGTCAGAAGTGAGATTATTTAAAACAATGTCACGGCCTAATACATACCATCCCAAAAGAACCCAACAAAAGCAAGTTGTCGAATAATGCTCTGCTCGTGCACAGGCGCCATTTCAAAGCTTTTCAGTCTGAGTTTGAGGCCTAGAAAGTTGAGATAATGACACGGCTTGGCTTCAGTCAGCGTTGTGGTCGTAAAGTTAGCCTGAGGTTTTTTTCGGGGCAGGAAAAAACAATTCTTGTTTCGTCGGGTCTTCATGTGGTCAAAATGTCGGTCGTAAGTGCCGGAAATGTCAGTTTCTGGCCGAGGATGGTAATCTGTGCACCACTCAAATTCGTGGACACACACATCTTCTTGGCCACGTACATCTTCTTCGACACATACATCTTCATGAACACATACATCTTCATCAAAATCAATAGTAGAATTTTCAACTGGACAAACCCGTAACTGAAGTCCCATAGTTGACCAAGCTGTAGATTTTCTTTAAGAGGGGATATGATATTTTCTTGCCTCACTGTGAAATTTGAAGACAGTAGGAATTTCCGTTATGGCCTCATTTCCGGGTGGAAGGTCTTTCATCTCCGTGTCAAAATGGCGACTTACGCCCGATACATTTTTAAAGTTCAAAGCAACAGAGTTCATATATTAAATAATACTACACTATTCATTTGATAATATTCCATTTGATGCGTTTCTTCCAAATATGTCCTTGAGCATTGAACACTACTTTAGCGTAGTGATTCAAGAAATAAAACATCAGCGTTGCGTTCCGCATGGACATTATAGAAATAACTTCAAAAGTATCGACCATCTTGAAATTTCAAATGACAGTAAATAAACACACTATTTGGATAAGAAACACAGTTTTTTCCCTCATACAGCTTCTGAAAATAAGTCCGTACAAAACACACCACTTGTTAATAACTAGGCCTTACAGTCAAACACGACTTAGTTTGTCTTGGTCATTAAACACAAATGCCACGCGCGTATTCAAAACGCAGTAAAAGATCGAATGAATTGAACGTATACAATAATTTGCTGTTATTAACTGTTTCTTTTATCCCCACCTCAGTGGATAACACTGAATTATTGTTTCGTCAATACTCGGTATTTGGAAGAAAACAACACTTGTTCAGATTGATTGATATTTGTTCAAAAAATAATACACATCATAATAAATGAACACTTTTCATCATGATTTATTTTGAAAGCCTTTCATAAAATACTATACATTATAATAAATTAAACACTTTTCACTATGATTTTTATGTATATCCTTAGGAAGTCACCAGTGTCGAAGTGCGCCTTGTGACCATCCGCTCGAATTCCCCAAACGTTTTATCCCAATGCATTATCCTGCCTTAAACAAGAACACTGGCCACTTATTTTTTGTCTGATGAAATCAAACCTTTCCACTCTCACTTAACAAAACCTAACATAAAAAACGAGTTTTATCGCATACTTAACGATAATGATATCATAGCAGAAGCCAACACGAGCAGTGGTTTGATAACCAGTGCGTTATGTTTGATTACGGCTACGTTACACCTAACTAATGCGACACAAGTTAGATCTATGCTCTTTGCTCAGGCAAATAGTTTGTCCTGGGGTAGGACAAACCTTTTCAACAAATCCTTTTATTGACTTACCTTATAGATAGGCTGGGCCACGAGTTGGCAAAAAGCCCGAACGTTTTCATAGCCAACGACCCGTAAATATTGTGCCAGCCATTTATGTATGTATAAGATACAAGTGTACGTCACATCCCTGAAAGGCACACATATTTTATTCACTAATGTGCAGTGCAAATGTTCTTAAATACCAATGTCTTTTCAACACAACTGGAACAATTTTTTTTTCTGCCCAAGGGTGTAAGTAAGCTATGGTGAGCAGGGACGAAATCCCGGGCATAATTTCTATGCAAGCCTAACCTCAAAAAGTGAAAGATAATATACAGTTTAAAGTTAAAATACTTAAAGAATAGAAAGTTATTACGTGTCTAAGAAAAAAAAACCCCAGCAACAACCTACAAACCAACGAATGTCTCTGTCTGCTTGGTAGTACAGCCCAGGTCCTCATCATTTTCCCATCACAGGAATATATCTCGTGTGTTAGTTTAAAAAAAAATCTCTTAAGAATCTATGTGCTATAATAAACCTTTACATTGCAGAAAATAAAAATAGTGAGATAGGGCAAATAAACCTTGATAGCACTACTGCAGTTTCGTAGATAGGTTTGATACCGCCCAAGCCAGTGATCGGTTTGATACCGCCCAAGTCAGTGATATGCTTGATACCGCCCAAGTCAGTGATAGGTTTGATACCGCCCAAGTCAGTGATAGGTTTGATACCGCCCACGTCAGTGATAGGTTTGATACCGCCCAAGTCAGAGATAGGTTTGATACCGCCCAAGTCAGTGATAGGTTTGATACCGCCCAAGTCAGTGATAGGTTTGATACTGCCCAAGTCAGTGATAGGTTTGATACCGCCCAAGTCATTCATAGGTTTGATACCGCCCAAGTCGGTGATAGGTTTGATACCGCCCCAGTCAGTGATAGGTTTGATACAGCCCAAGTCAGTGATAGGTTTGATACTGCCCAAGTCAGGCCAATATTTTAGCCGCCCCCACAATAAACTCTGCAGTTGACTGAAAATAAATCCCGTCAAATTATAATAACACCATAAAATTAAAACAAGTTAATTGCTCAAAAACATGTTTTAACAGGAATGTAAGCAACGCCCTTCTATGTAAAAATAAAAAAAAGAAAATTGACAGTCATAATTGAATAATCTGTCTGTCTGTATTAATTGATGCCAAATCAACTACACCCCCCCCCCC